AATCAGGTGAAATATGTCCCAGTACATGGGCCAGGTTTGGGATCCTGTCCTGTGTCCCAGCACAGATTAGGGATCATGTCCTGTGTCCTGGTACACGGCACAGGTGTGGGGTCATGTCCTGTGTCCCTGTGGGAAGGCTGCATCCACCCTGAGGAGAGGGAGGCTTGAAGGATCCCTTTGGATGGGTTCATTCCAGAATGCCTTTTGGCTCCTCTCCTGAGCCTTGGGAATGACTCCATTGGTCTGTGCTGCCCTTTCCAGGGTCTTTTCCCTGAACTTGGTCTTTACAGTGTTCAGGTTTCCACAGGGAGCAGAAGGTTCCTGCTGAGGGTTCTGGGAGAGAGAGGAGGAAACCAAAGTGTCCCTTGGGTCACAGGCTGTGGGATGGGATTTGGACAGTTGCCAAAATGTCTGAGCTGCCTCCCTTTTCCCCACACAACAGCTCCCACCCGTGGCAGAGCAGGGGAGTCCAGAGAAGAAAGCTGCCTCCCACCCTGGGCAGTTTGAGAGGATGAGGAAGAAGAGGGCAGCAGCTGTGGCAGGAGTGGCAGCTGCATTGTCCCCAGAGAGAGGGGAGACCATGAAAACCCCTTTCCCTCTTGGCAGGAGGCCAAAGCAAAAGTAAGAGGAGAAAAGGGAAAGGGAAAAGCCAGGGAGAGAGTTGAGCAGGTGGGAGGGAAAATGGAGTGGTGAAAGGGGTGGTGGGGCCAAAGGGAGTGTGGGCACAGGGGCAGGAGGGGGAAGGGACAGGGACAGGGGGACAGGGGCAGGGAAAGGGTTAGGGACAGGTTAGGGACAAGGGGCTGGGACAGGGGCTGGAACAGGGGCAGGAACAAGGTGAACAAGGATGGGGACTGGGAGGGGGACAGGGACAGCAGTGGTAAGGGGCATGGACAGGGACAGGGGTTGGGACAGGGACAGGAGCAGGAATGGGCAGGAACTGGTACAGGGACTGGGATGGGGACAGAGAGATGGACAGGGACAGGAGTAGGACAGGGACAGGAGCAGGGGCTGGGATAGGAGCAGGGGCAAGAGTGGGCAGAGACAGGGAGAGGGGCTGGGACAGGGACAGGAGCAGGAGCAGGGACAGGACAGGAATGAGCAGAGACAGGGACAGGAGAGGGCAGGGGCTGGGACAGGGACAGGAATGGGTAGGGACAGGGACAGGGACAGGGGCAATGGCAGGTGCAGGACAGGGGCTGGGCCAGGAGCAGGGGAAGGGACAGGGACAGACAGGGGCAGGGGCAGGAGCAGGGACAGGCTCAGGAGTGGGCAGGAGGCTGTACCAGACAGGGTCTCATCCAGGGAGCAAGAGGGACTCTGTCCCTGTCCTTGCAGGACACCACGAGCAAAGCAGGTCCTGGCAAACCTGGAGCCGTTCCGGGTGTCCCGGGAGCAGTGCATGAAGGCCCTGCAGATCAACAAGCTGCGGAAATGGTCCCAGGACAGTTCCTCTGGTGGGTATTCCCAGGCACAGGAGGTGTTATTTCCCCAAGGAGGACGTCCTGCCCTGCTGGATGGGTGCCAGGAGAGCAGGGGGTCCTGGGGCTGTGACCCTGAGCCAGAGCTGCCCTCCAGCCCCAGGGCCGTGGCCACAGGCACAGCCAGGCCAGGTGGGGACATGGATGGGTTCCTCTGGGGTTTGGCCTGACCAGGTCTTGGCACCTTGGCAGGGCAGGGGGATCTTGGACACCCTGGAACCCTCCAGGAAGGTCTCTGCCCTCCTCTCTGCACCTCCAGCTGAGCAGTTCATGATTCCCCCTTAGCTTGGTGAAGCAGAAGGAGCTCCAAGACCCCAGAGAAGAGCAGAAGTGGGCTCAGAGCAGCCCCATTGCACCAGGAAAAAAAGGAATAAAGGAATCCCTCACATCCCTCCCCTGGCTGTGTGAGTTGCTCCTGTGCACCAGGGAACAAGATGTTTGGTGACCCAGGTGTGACTGCTGGACGTGGATTGGCATGGAAGGGACCACAGTGGGTCTCTTGGTCCCACCTCCCTGCTCCATCCCAGAGTGCATGTCACAGGATTGTATCCAAAATGTTCTGGAATGTCCCCAGTGAGGAGACTCCACACTCCCTCTGGACAATCCACTCAGTGCTTGGCCACTGCACAGAAAAGAAGTTCTTCCTCAGATGGAACTTTCTGGGCATCAGTTCCAGCCTGTCCCTCTTTTTTGTGCCTTCTGCTGTTCCACCCCTGGCCCAGACTGATGAAATTCAGGGCAGAGGATGAGTTGTTGAGGATTTGTAAGTGGTGGCTCCTGGCCATGGCTGCACAGAAAGCAGAGAAATCAGAACAGGAGAGGAAACCTGCTGTTTTTGATAAAAAAGATCCTTCCAGGGGTCCAAATGTGATGGCTGAGGCATGAACTGGGCTGGTGGAGAGAAGCCAGGCCAGGCAGTCCCCAGGTGACACTGTCAGCTCAGGGGTTAGTTCAGCTCTACTGAAGTTTTTGGAACATGAGAATTCCCATTCTCCCCCTGGAAAGAAAACCTGTAACCTTTGGATTTAAAGTGCAGTTAGAGGCTGCCTAGGGCGCTCCATGGGCAGCAGGAGCTTTCTCTCATGCCACCTTTTTTGTCTGGGAGGAATCTTCGTCTGTGTTCGAGTCTGGGAGTCGGGAGTGGCGATTCCACCGCACGTCACCAAAAAAGGGAACTGCAGCTTTCTTTCCCGAGGAAGGAAAGCCTGTAGCTTTTGGGTTTTAGGTGCAGCTGGCAGGGCACTCCATGGGCAGCATCCTGGGTGCACAGTGGAAGCTGGAAGCTGGAACTGTAATGAGGTCTCCCCTCGGTCTCCACTTCCCCAGCCGAACACACCAAGCACCCTCTGTGTCATCGCACGGCTTCAAATCAAGACCCTTCCCCATCCTCATGTCCCTCCTTTGGACAGTCACCAACAGCTCATTGGCTTCCTTATGTTATGTCCCCCAAACTGCCCCAGTTTGGCAGGTGAGGCCACCTAAAAGCAGAGCAAAGTGAGACAATCCCATCCCCAGCCCAGCTGACCCGATGTGGACACTTCCCAATGGACACTTCCCACAGTGCTTCCTTATAGGGAGGCACTCCTGGTGGTGCAGGAAAAGATCTCCCAGTGGCACAGGCAGCTGTTCCTGTCTCCAGGGCCTCCTCTGGAGCCAATCCCGTAGGAGCAGATGAAGGAACAGCTGCACACTTGGCTTTCTTCTGGGCAAGAGAGAGAGAGAGACCCCATCCCTGCCAGAGCCTCTGGCAGAGCTGCCAGACTCCTGTCCCAGGAGATCCCTCTGTCTGCTCTCCCTTCTCCCTTTGCCAGGTGGCAGCACCACACAAGGTACATCCCTGGGGAGACACATGGCAAGGGAAAGGCTGGAACCCAGGAGCCTCCTGCAGGCTCCTAAGAAGACATTCCAGCCTGCAAGTGGCAAGCTGAGTTTGTCTTGGAGCCACCAGGTCACAACCCAGGCCATTGTGGTGAGGAATTCCCAGGAGCAGGTGCAACACAACCTGCTGTCCTCTCTCTGTTTGCCTTCTCTCCGAGGCTGGACTTGATCTGAAGGCCAGACTTGATAATCCTGGAGGTCTTTCCATCCTTAACAATTCCCAACTCTCCCTCAGGGCCTGTTTAATCTGTTCTTTATTTTCCCCCAACCCGTAGTCGGGCTCAGAAAGTGTCAGGATAAACCAGGCTGAGGAGAAGGAAATGGTTGTAGAGACTCCCCCTGGAATCTGTTCAGAGGAACTTTTTTGTTCAGCCTTCTGCTGTTCCACCCCTGGCCCAGACTGATGAAATTCAGGGCAGAGGATGAGTTGTTGAGGATTTGTAGGTGGTGGCTCCTGGCCATGGATGGCAGCACAGAAAGCAGAGAAATCAGAACAGGAGAGGAAACCTGCTGTGTTTGATAAAAAAGATCCTTTCAGGGGTCCAAATGTGATGGCTGAGGCATGAACTGGGCTGGTGGAGAGAAGCCAGGCCAGTCAGTCCCCAGGTGACACTGTCAGCTCAGGGGTTAGTTCAGCTCTACTGCAGTTTTTGGGTTATATTGAACCAGAGAATTCCCATTCTCTCCTCCAAGGCCACGCCTGGGAAATCCAGGCTGCTTTAGTTCCTGGGATTTGGTTCCAGGAAGAATGGTCATCAACATCTGGAGCCCTTGTGCCACCCCACACTGCTGAGGTTTGGGGAAGTTCTCAGTGGGTGACTCTTTCCCTCTCCTGCTCTGCCGGAACAAGGAACGTTTTTTTCCTGCTGTCCCCGTAAATTAAAAACCACCAAATGCCAGAAATCATTTACAGATGAAAGGACCTGAGCCTGACGTCAGACCTGAGCTGAATGAGGTAAGTTGTTTCCTCTGCATCCATGTGACATTGTGGTGTTTGTGAATAAGGATGAAACCCGTGGAGAAATGGATTTGATTCCTGGTGGCTTTTATGCCTGTTCACAAACCCCCTGCCTTTGGACACCTGGATTTTAAGAAGGTGCTGCCAGAAGCAGCACTAAAGCATGGCCAGGCACTGGCACAGCTGCCCAGGCCACTCGAGGGGGTGTCACCATCCCTGGAAGTGTTCAAAAAATCCTGTGGAGGTTGCACTTATGGACGTTATTTCAGCGATAAAAAACCTATTACCAGGTGCTGGGTTGAGGGACCCTCTGATCTCAGAAGGCTTTCCCAACATTATTCCATGATTCCATAATTGCACCTTTTTAGTACCTACAGAAGAGGGAACTGATTGGGTCAATTTTTTTTGTCTCTCCTTCGAAATTTATTTGCCCCTCCCAGCTCTGCAGCCAGAACTGTGGAGCCTGAGTTCCTGGGGGGGGGTTCATTGGATCAATCCCCACATTCATTTATGGCAGGTTGGAATATTTTGACTGTCCGTGGCCCAGAGATTGAGTGACTCATAAATCACAGGATCTGCTTGGGTGTGACTGAGCTGCTCTGCCAAAGAGCAGAAAACTGAGAGCCCTCTGGGGGTTTATGATATGTCCATAAAAAGCTTGGATTAATGGATTACCAAGCCAATGCTGGCTGAAGTCTTTATAAGCTTCGAGTGCTGGGCAGAGAGAGAAAGTCTGAGAGACAAAAAAAGAAAAAAAGAGGCAGAGAAAGACCAAACCTAGAGAAAATAAATTACATCCAGGTTAGGAGAGGCTCAGCTTTGCAGGTACCATGAGAGGCCTCCTTCCCTGGGCCATCCTGGCAGTCCTTGTGCTGGTGCACAGCTCCTGGGCAGTCTATGTGCAGGTGAGTTTTTTCTCTTTAGTTTATTGGTATTAAGAGCTCAACCAGGTTGCTGATATTATTTAAACTTGTGGCTGCAACAGGAATCTTGAAGTCAAGTAAAGAGACCTGGATTTTTGCTTTGCTCTGCCTTGAGATCCAAGTGCCCCTCCCTGTGCTCCACGTTTGCTTTCTGTAAAATTCTCCAGGTGTCACGAAAATTCTGTTTATTTACCTTCTCCAGGCACATCCCTGCTCTGAAATCCCTCAGGTGTTTTGTGTCCAGGGTTTTCCTTGGTAGATAATCCCAAGGTGCAAGAACTGGGGATGCCCCTGATTTTAAACCAAAGCCACAAAATGTCAGGGAATGATGCAAACCTCTAACAAGGTTTAATGTACACAAGGTGTGATGCAACAGAAATTGTCTTGTCTCACCTGGGTCTGGACAGGAGGGTCTTTTATAAACAGGTGTGTTTATGGGCTGGACCTACAACTTCCACCTGTAAGAAGAGGTGAAAAAAAATTTTCCCAAAGTACACAACACCTGATATTCCATGTGCACAGACTGATATTCCATGTGCACAGACTGGCATTCCATGTGCACAGACTGAATTCCACGTGCACAGACTGATATTCCACGTGACATGAACGCAGTTAGGAAGGTCCTGAAGTGCTCTGGTCTGTCCTTGGGACAGCTTTGGATCATCCAGAGAAACGGTTTGGGAGATGTGGGTTTGTCTTGTCGACAACTTCCTCAGAATTCCAAGAGAATTCATGTTTCTTAAACAATTATTGGCTCTGTGTGTGCAGCAGCTTTCCAGGGATAAGGTGCCCTGGACTATCCTCTCTTTGTCCTTTGGATGACAGACATATCCACAGGTTTCAGCTGTTCCTTTCCTCCAAATCATTCTTCAACAAATTAGGTTTTTGGGGAGCAGATATTTTACTACTTCATGGAAAAGAACACTTCAGTTTGGTTTTTTTTTTTTTTTTTTGGTCATTAAAACCAAACCCTAAATGGGAAGAGCTCTTTCTAGGTTAGGTAAAAGTGTAGGAAGTGGATTTTTAAGCTGGAATTTTTATCCCATGAACCATTAAATCCATATTTTCCCCAGCACACCAGCACTGTGCCCTGGGGGTGTTGCCCTCCTTTCACCTTCACCACCTGAGATCCCTGAGGTCTCACTCGTTCCTCACCTGCACAGAGTTGACTTCCACCCTTCTTGCCTGAAGTTCTTCCTCAGAACCTCCCTTTCCCTCCCCTTTAATAGCCCAGAAATGTTTCATTTCAAGAAATGTTTTTGCAAGGAGCTTCATTTGATGCCCAGCTTGGTTTCGAAGTCTGGGTGTCGCTGTCCTGGCACTTCCCATCACAGATCTGGAGGGAATGGGATGGAAATTGGAGGAATATGAGTTACCTCACTTTGGAGGGGAGATTCTGCTCAGATTTAGCTCTGTAATACATTGTTCTTATCTGAGCTGGTGGGGTTTTTTTCTATTTTTGTTGTTCCTTTGTTCACTTTTGTCCCCTTGACCTGCACATCTAAGGGTTTGTTCCTGATTCCTGGATTCTCTGAAATTGCCCCTGCTGAAATCCACCTTTTTATAGTTCCCTGTTTTATGTCTGATATCTGAGAGCAATGGCTGAATTTGGAACTGCTTTTATACAGGAAAAGTTGATTTCTCACAGGCAGTCAGGGCTGGTTTAGGTTGGAAAAGCCCTCTGAAATCATCATGTCCAATCATTAACCCAGCACTGCCAGGGCCACCACTAATCCATGTCCCCAAATGCCACATCCACTTGTTTTTTGATCACTTCCAGAGGTGGTGGCTCCACCACTGCCCTGGAACTATTACCTCACCATTCTTTATAGAATCATAAAATCACTAAGGTTGGAAAAGCCCTCTGAGATTATCGGATCCAGCTGATAAATTGACCAGAGTAAAAAAATAAGCTGAGTGCAAGAGCAAAGAGTTTGACTTTCTTCAGTAATTTAATATCTAAACTTTACATGGTTGTTTTTTTTTTTTTAAACTTTAACACTGAAATTCTCTGATTCTGTGAAAAAACCCCACCCCCAATCTATCAGAGTCAACTACTCCCCCCCATCTCACACTTTTCACCACTCAGCTCGTGAGATTATGAAACAAAAGACAAAATTCAGTCTTGTGCTGTATCAGAGTCACTTTTTTTCCTGTGAATGAGTTGCTTTTCCCAGAATGGTTTGGGTTCAAAGGGACATTAAAACTCCCCTTGGTCCATCCCCTGCCCACGGGCACCTCCCACATCCCCTTTGGGATATATTGGCTATTCAAGCAGGTTAAAACAGAGGATAAAGATAAAATTGAAAATGCTTATTTCTCTTCTAGGCCAGGCTCTACTAATCTGCAGACAAGCACCAACTTTGTGGACTTGGTTTAGCAGCTGCAAAACCTGCAGCTTACATTTCTGACCTCAAAAGGGGGAATTCACTGGGAACTGTGGGAATGGCATTTAACAGTGATTTAAAATAATGGAGTAATATTTCCCAGAATCCCACCTTGGCTTCCTGAAGAATTTCCAGTGAGCTTTGAGAAGTGTCACGTTCATGCTTCCAATAAGTTGAGTCCCATGAGTTGTGTGTAAGACAAATTTTAAATTGGCACAGGGTGGGGTTGTTGGGGTGTCCTGTGCAGGGCCAGGAGTTGGGCTGGATGGTCCTTGAAGGTCCCTTCCAACTCAGAAGCTTCTGTGATTCTGAACTGATGGAAATTTGCCACTTCCCCTGGGCTCTGGCACGGATTGCCCAGAGAAGCTGTGGCTGCCCCAGCCCTGGAAGTGTCCAAGGTCAGGTTGGACGGGGCTTGGAGGAACCTGGGCTGGTGGAAGGTGTCCCTGCCCATGGCAGGGCGTGAAAAGAGATGGGTTTTAAGGTCCTTTTCAACCCAAACCATTCCATGATTCCATGACATTGCCCAGTCATCTCTTTTCCAGCCTGTTTTGAGTCTCAGTCCTGGGGCTGAGCAGTTGTGCCTCTGTCCCCTGTGACTCCCAGCAAAGGCCTGAGCAGCAGTTGGGTCTCACAGCTGCTCTGCAAGGTCTGTGCCTTCAAGAGCTCATGATTTTGCCTTGAGCCAGCACAGGTTTTATCTAGTTTTCCATTCTTTTCCCTCTATAACAATTTTTAGGGAGAGCTGGAGGTCGAAACAGAAAAGATTTTCCCTGAGGACTGACCCTCCTTATGTCTTTTTTAAAATTTATTTTTTTTTTCTGATTCTTTCCACACAGGATGGAGACCTGAAATTCCCCCTGGAATCTGTGAGGAAGCTGAAGGAGCTCATGAATGAGAACAGGCCTGTCAGCCCTCGCTTGGCAGTGCCCGTGGCCAGCCATGCTGTGTGCCGTGACAAATCCCTCCCTGCAGAATTCCAACCCCTGTGCAAGAGGGAAGATGCCCACGAGATTTTCCAGAGGCTGAGTATGTCTCTCACATTGCAGAGTTGCCATTCTAAGCCTGCTTTTCCACCTTAGGCATTTAAATTGCCTGGAGGCAAAGGTGTGGAATGACTTGTCCTGTCGCTCCTGAAGGAGCTGAGGGGGTTTGTGCTGCCTTTGGGATGCTTTTTCTCCCACAAGGGTTGGGCTGCACAGGGTGTGAGGCCCCTAAAGAAGATTCCTGCTGTGCTGTGCCCCGGGCACACCATGAAAAAGTTGATCCAAGTAGAATCATGGAATCACTAAATGGTCTGGATTGGAAGGGACATAAAGCCCATCCAGTTCCACACCCTGCCACAGGCAGGGACTCCTTCCACCTGACCAGGTCTCTCCAAGCCCTGTCCAACCTGGCCTTGGACACTTCCAGGGATTCAGGGGCAGCCACAACTTCTCTGGGCAACCTGTGCCAGGGCCTGCCCACCCTCACCATATTCTTCCTTAATATTTTATCTAAATAGATCCTTTTTCAACTTAAAGCCACTCCTGCTACCCAAGGCTCCCCTGCCGTGCTCTGCTGCTGCACTGGTTGCTTTTTCATGGTGTTACACCCCATTTATCCCCTGTCCAATGCAGAGAACCCTTCAGGAAGCAATGCTGCCATGTTCTGCTCTCCCCATGTCCTCCTCCACCCTTTGCTTCCCGATGGATCCGTGCTCCATTTAGTTCCTTAAGCCAGACTTTAGCAAGAGCAGGAATATTAAAGCAGTGGAGCAGTGATGGGGAGGGGCTCTCCAAGTCCTTTGACACGTGGCTCTGCTCCCTTGGCCTCTGGTTTAACCCCCCTCTCCCCGTGCCAGGCCTGGCTGCCCAGGATGACCTGTGCGAGATCTGCGCCAACGCCGCCTGTGCCGGCTGCTTTTGAGGGAGGAACCCCCAAGAAGAGGTGTCCAGCTGGGAAGTTCGTTCATTCCTGTGGCCAGATCACGTCCTTTCACCGATCAATACCTCTCCCACCACAGCCCAAGCAATGCTGTGGTGACATCAGGTGCCACCAGCAGGGCAGTTCTGCCAACAAGGGGGCTGGGAGCTCACCCTGAGAGCCTCCAGAGCTGCTGGAGTTGGTTCACACTTCCATGAAAACGTCCTGGGTTTCGTTTCTCACTGCTTTACCTGGATTTGAACATCCCCAGTTGAAAATCAGTGGTCTTTTCAGGCTTTTTAGTAGCTGATATGTAATATCTGATATTTGATGTCTAATGCATAATATCTGATCCTTAGTATCTGCCTGGTGATTTGGCCTCCCCCTGCACACAGCACTGGGTTATTATCCCCTTTCCCAGCCCTTTCCCAGTGCCTTGGATCACTCTCCTTGTCTGCAGGTGACACCTCTCTGTTTGTAACAGAACTGCAGGAAACAACTGGATAAATCCCTGCTGTTTTGCAACCTCCTCACAGTCAGAAATCAGTCTGTTACTTGCACTAATTGCTGTGTGTTCAGGGATGTAGAGGAGCACAGGGACACTTCCCACCTGCTTGGATATCCATGTTCTTTAAGTTCCCTTCACCAGAAAGGAATTCAAACCTGCAGTGCTGGAATGACTTGGAAATGAAAGCACTGCCTTGTGGTTGTACTTGTTGGTGGCAAGACAGTGAAGGAAGGATCTGCCCATGTTTATAACCTGTATATGAAATAAAAGCTAGTAATAATTTGGATTTTTTGTTTTTCTTTATGTTTTTTTGCTGGGGTTTAGGGTGGGTTTTATGTGGGGACAGTCTTGCCTACTTCCTTTCTCTCATGTCCAGGTATTCACTGCAATAAAACTTATCTTGTTTAGATGTCCTGAATTTAAACTAATTTGTTGTCACAGAATCCCAGGATCACTGAGGTTGGAAAAGCCCTCCAAGGTCATGGAGTCCAACCTGTGCCCCATTCCCACTTGGGCACTGAGTGCCACGTCCAGTTGTTCCTGGGACACCTCCAGGGATGGGGACTCAACCATCTCCTGGGGCAGCCCCTTCCAGTGCCTGACCACCCTTTCCATGGAGAAATTCCTGCTGATGTCCAACCTGACCTTCCCCTGGCACAGCTTGAGGCCGTTCCCTCTCCTCCTGTCCCTGTTCCCTGGGAGAAGAGCTCGACCCCTCCCTGGCTCCCCCCTCCTGTCAGGGAATTGCAGAGCCAGAAGGTCCCCCCTGAGCCTCCTTTTCTCCAGGCTGAGCCCCCCCAGCTCCCTCATAGCAATGTAAGGTTGTATCTGAGATGCTAATTATTCCTTTTTAACTGTTGAATTATTGCCTCCATTTTTTCTATCTGGGACCCCTCAACTCAGCAACCAAGTTCCACCAAGAGTCTCAGTGCTCCAAAGCTGCACGTTGAGCCCAGAGAGTGGGTGCCTAAATCCAGAAATGCTCTTTAAAAAGTAACATTGGGTGCACAAATTCCCGTTCCACTGGACAGAAAAGCTGTGAATGTGGAGGATTCCTTGCATCCAGCGTGCTGAGCACTCCAGGACAAACCCCATCCAACAGCAAATTCCAAAGAGAAAGTCTCAAACTAAGGCTCTTCCTGATGCCTTGAAAATGGGGGCTTGCAGCAACCTGGGCTGCTTGAAGATTTCCCTGCTCGTGGCAGTGGGGTGGGACTGGATAATCTTCAAGGTCCCTTCAACCCAAACCACCCTGGGATTCTCTGATACGATTCCATAACTTCCCATTAATATTTAATCCCTAATGAGGACACAGACGTCACCCTGCTGTCGTTATCTCTCTCCTCAGGTGAGATCTGCAGACAATCAGCTCTTGGCTCTGGGCTCTTGTCAGAAAATGCTGTCTCCCATTTCTTGTTGCTGTAGATGAGGAATAAGCAAAACAGGTGAAGAGAGGCCAAAGGGCAGGGTGAGGCAAGAAATCATGCTGGGAGTGTTATGAGCAGATGCTGCAGAGGATCCAGAAGATATTTCCAGGCTCAGTCTGATGGTTTAGGAACTGATTCTTTTCACACTCACCTGTATCTTGACCTGACCAGACAGCACCTACGTGGATTTATCTGTGAGGTTTGTTTGTGTCAGGTTTTGTCTCTTCTGCAGGGTTTTTTGTTGAAAGGCTATGTAGGAAAGAACAGAGCAACTCCATCAGAGCCACCTGAAGCCAAATCAGAGGGAATATTGGTCAGTTTTTCTACGTCAAAATTGTCCTGTCTCAGGAAATCTTTTTGTACCTCCAAGTTCGGCTGCAAATGGGAGTGGAGTCTGTCCCTGGGAGTTGGATGAGGGAAGATGCCACTGGAACAAATTTTAGATATACTCAACTTTTGGGGATTGCCCCCATAAAAGAAAGTTTTTCTCAGAAGCTGCCATGGCCTTGGTTCTGAGTGTTCACCCCATGCCCAGGTGGGCAATTCTGTGATCAGATTTTAACCAAACTACAGGATTTTAAGTAGTGACCTGAGAGAGTTTCAGGCTGGTTTTGGAGTTTAGGACTTGCCCAGATCTGGTATTCTGCACATTGTGCTCCTTGTTAAAGGACTGACATTGTTTTAAAAGTGAAAAAATACAGGGAACACTGATGTATCATTTTCTGTGGTGCCGTTTTTGATTATTTGGGAAAATGTGCTCCAATTTATAGGGCACTTCTGGGAGCATAACAGTGCCCCCTTTAAGCAATATGAATTTCTCTCTGCACTTTGTTCACATGCAAATCCCTTATCTTCGACATCCTTTACAGGAGGATGATGGAGCAGCTGCAGGATGGAGATTGCACAGGTGGGAAGGGAAAAAAAGGATCTTCCTGCTCTCCTGCTGCTGGAACTGCCCACGTTCTTGATTACACCAGCGAGGGTGGAGGAAATGGAAAGGAGATTTAGGGCCAAGTTCAAGGAAAAGGATGTGGCATAAGGATTTCAAAGGCTTTTAGTGGCCATGGAGCTCTTTTGTAATAAAAGAGAAAGGAAATTTTCCAAGGCCATGCAGTGAAAACAGGAGGGGGAGTGGCCTTAAGCTGAAGGAGGGTGGATTTAGGTTGGATTTCAGGTAGGAATTCTTGGGTAGAAGCACTAAATAGAGGTAGAAGCAGAAGGGCAAGGCAGGTCCTCCTGGGGTGATCCTGGGCATGGAATGTGTTAGTGATTATTGTGCTACTTGTCCAGGAGAAGAGAGAGAAGTTGAGGTGACTTCACTGACACAGGGGGATGTTTGCAGAGAGGGAAAGCTCCTTGATAAAAAGAAGGATTTTTTGCCAAAATGCTGGGCAGGTAAATCCAGGGTTTGAGGTGCCCTTTCCTCCTAGGGTGTGTCGTTAGATAACAGGGAGATGGAGCATCTGCTGATTAAAGCATTGCCCAAATTATCTTTCTCAAACACAGACTTTACATCCACATCCTTAACCACACAGGAATTGTTCCTTAACTCCTTCACACCTTTCCCTGGCAGGTGCTAAATCCCAGTTCACTCTGGGGGTGTGCAGGGTGGGCTTTTCAGCTTTAGAATCTACCAATTCTTTTTTCTAAATCATCCCCCCCCTCTTTCCTTCTGATCCACAGGGAGGGAAGTGTGGTCTGGACTGTCCTGATAACCCCCAGGTTTGAACCTTGGCAAAAAAAAAACAACAACCCACTTTAGTAGTAGTAATAATAATAATAATAATAATAATAATAATAATGGCTCCTTTACTGCTAAATCCCAGCACTGGATTTTTTTTTTCCTTGATCACTGAGATGACAAATTCAATCAGTTCCCAAGTTCCAGAGACTTGGTTGCTCTTCCCTGAGTCCATCACTTTACTATCTCTGCCTCTGATTCCCCTCATCACTTTATTCCTGTGGAATTCCATCTTCAGGTGTTCAGTAAGTCCACATTTACCAGTGATGAGGGATTTTTTCTTTCCCCACTATTTTTATATGCTCAGACTTTTGTGCCTGTTTTTTTTCGCCTCAATTTTCCCTCGCCATTCTCCTCACTCTGATCAGCTTTTCCAAGTTTCTGTGTTGGCCTCCCAGTTTTGCCTGATATATCCTTTTATTCTACTTACTGGCTGCCAATTCTAGTCCCTCCTTCTGGCACCCACTTCCCAGACTCTTTCCTTTAGTTTTTGCAGTTTGGATTGGATTTTTTCTCCTTGGCTCTGCATTGTGGCTCTTTCCCCAATTTTCTTTATTCCTTCCCTTTCGATCCTGCTCTAAGACTCTCTTTGTACTTCTCTGATTTCCCTGCCCATTTCTTCCCCAGTTTTGCTGAAGCCCAAAATTCCCTGGGCTAATGAGACATTTTTCTTACTTTAAAATATGTCCCATCTCCTTATTTCACGTATTTTTGCTCTCTCCTCCAGGTGTAGTGAGAGTGTAGTTGCAGTGTTCTCAACCAACCAGCTTTTAAAAAATCCCAAACCCCATTTCTTCCCAATTCCCACCCACATCACCCTCCAGTCTCACTCCTCTATCCCTTCTATGCAGAAATTTTGTACCTCTCTGCTTCTATTCCCACAAACCTCTGTCTTCCTAACCCATCTGGCCATTACCATGTCCTGGTTTGCCCATGATCTGCCTGTATTTCATCATGTTTGTTACCCCTTGATTTCTTTGATTTTTATTTCACTTTTTTTCCTTTTTTTTCCACCCCTTTTTTTCTTTTCTTTTCTTTTTTTTTTTTTAATTATTTTTTGGGAGGAAATTTCAATGCTAAAAGCTTTTCCTGGTAAAAAAACCAGAGTGAATGCAGGCAAAGCTGATTGAAGGATCTCCAAGGATTGCTCAGCAAACACTGAGCACACAAAGGTGGGATTGTCCTTGGGGTAATATTTTAACTCCAAGAGTCAGAGAAAGTACCAACCATGATATGACTTGGTTTATGAGCAATAAAAAGTCTATAAAAGTCATGGTACAGCCAAGGACCATTTGCATTAAATATTTTGCCATGTCCTGATAAAAAAATCACAGGGTTTAAATAAACATGCTGTTAGATCTTTCCAGAAGCTTTTTTTTTTTTTTTTTTTTTTCCCAGGAAAAAAGACAAACCCAGTGTTCTCCTTTTCCTGGGATATTTGCACTGTCAGACACTGGAATCAGAATTAATGACAAAGATCTTTTTTTGGTGTTTTCAGCCCAGTCATGGTGAGATACTTTTTGATGACATCAATATGTTTTCTCTGTTTTATTCCAGTGAATCTCAATATTCCACTCAGCATTCTTCTGCTGTGGATGGTAAATACACCCCAGCTTTATGTCTTCCCACACCTGAGTGTCTCCATTTATTTGGGATTAAGTTGATTTAGCCCAGGCAGCTGATTTTCCTTGATGTCCAGCCCTTCTCCTGGTGATACCAGGAGGGGAAAAGATGGACAATCCAGTGCAGGGTGACCAAGGTGTTGATGGGTCTGTGGCAAAGAGATGAACCTCTTTAACCTGGGAAAGAGGAGAGCAAAAGGGTGAGTGGGACAATTATGCAGAAGGGTTAATTATGGAAGGACAGCCACTCACAGATGCCTTCAAGAAGCACAAGAACTTCTGTGCTGCTTCCAAGGGACTGTGTCTCTGTTTGCTCATGAGTTATACTGGCATTTCATAGCTCTGGGAGACTTTTTTGGGTGTTTTTTTTGAAGTTTGTCCCAGGTGTGGGGCAGATCTGGGGGTGAGAAGGAAGTATTTGCGATTACCACGAAGCTGCTGCCTGATCATTCCACTGAATTTCCTTTGTGTCATGAACCTCCCTGTGCTCCAGAGC